TTTAGTAGGGGTCCCACGTTGATTGGAGAAAGGAACGAGTGCCAACGAGAACACTGGGCCGTGAAGGGGGTGAATTGTGAGATTCTACATTAGTTGGGGAGGAAAACGAAACACCCTTCATAAGAACGTTTTAAAAACCTTGAGGGAAAGCGGAGAGCCGTTACAAAAGTCTTCCAAGTAATTTTGTGATTAGTTTTGGGGACAAGTGTCAATAGCTGATTGTCTTCATCTTTCAACCTTTCTCTTATCCACTAGATTTCTGTATTGTTTCTAGATTAGTCAATACTTACCTTGATAATCAAAAGTTAATTAGATGTTTAATTTTTCTTAAGCTTTCTAGAAAAAGTGTATGATAATTAAGAGTTTCTAGCAATGCAAGTGAAGCTCCTATTGATGATGGTATTAAAATCAAACAGGAAACCATAGTGAGCATGGCAATAGGAGGTGCCATAATAGGAGCAGCAATGGGAGGATGGATGAACGACAGATATGGGAGAAGAACTGTAATTCTCATAGCAGATTTGCTCTTCTTCATTGGAGCTGTGGTAATGGCAGCTTCACCCGCCCCTTTCCTTCTCATTGTCGGTCGAGTTCTAGTCGGACTTGGTGTGGGAATGGCTTCCATGACCTCCCCTCTCTACATCTCTGAGGCTTCCCCTTCAAGAATCCGTGGTGCCCTTGTCAGCACCAATGGTTTTCTCATCACTGGTGGCCAGTTTCTCTCCTATCTAATCAACCTCGCTTTTACAAAGGCACCAGGCCCATGGCGATGGATGCTTGGTGTTGCAGGCATTCCAGCTCTCTTGCAGTTTATCTTAATGTTCTTGCTTCCCGAGTCACCTAGATGGCTATACCGCAAGGTAATATCATCTTATCGCTTTCGAAAGTTCAAGGACCTAATAGACATGAACTAACCCGTTTCAAGTTGAACAGGGAAGATCAGAAGAGGCGGAAAGGATACTAAGAAAAATATATTCGGAAAACGAGGTAGAGGCAGAGATTCGGGATCTTAAGGAATCGGTTGAGGCCGAGATCAAGGAAAAGGAGTCTTGTGAGAGGGTTAGCTTGATGAAGATATTGAGAACCAAAACAGTGAGAAGGGGGCTTTATGCAGGGGTTGGGCTACAGATTTTCCAGCAATTTGTGGGCATAAACACAGTGATGTACTACAGCCCATCTATAGTTCAGCTGGCTGGCTTTGCTTCTAATGAGACAGCACTGCTGCTATCACTGGTCACAGCTGGGCTCAATGCATTGGGCTCCATTGTGAGTATATATTTCATTGATAGAACAGGGAGGAAAAAGCTTCTAGTGTTCAGCTTATTTGGTGTCATAGTTTCTCTTGGTGTGCTATCAGCAGTGTTTCATGAAACAACATCTCACTCTCCGTTAGTGAGCTCTGGAGCCAGTCCACTCAAAGCTTACACATGCCCTGACTACACTTTTGCTAGCAATGCTGCTTCTTGGGACTGTATGAAGTGTTTGAAAGCCTCATCTCCTGATTGTGGTTTCTGTGCTTCAGAAGCTAATAAGGTAACAAAAATCACAATACCAATCTAATCATTAACCTGTGTAGAATGATTTTTCGTACCTAAAACCACGTCAAAATGAGAGAGGTCTTAAGAATATGCAATTTGAGTGATTTCTTGAGAACTTCCCGATGAAAGGACTAGAGTTCGGGTAGGAATAGTCTACACTCTCAGAAACAGTTCAGAGTTTGGATAGGTATAGTCTTCACTTTCAGAAACAGTTAGAAACCGTTCAAAGTTTAGGTAGGAATAGTCTTCACTCTTAGAAACAGTTCAAGACAAGTAGATAGCGTGACTAGGTCGTAGGGAATGCAAGAAAATGCTAGGGCTGTTAAGTGCGGAATCTTGAAACAATCCTATTTGAGTGGTTTCTTGAGAACTTTCCTACGAAAGGACTTGAGTTCGTCGAGAATTGTCTTTCACCCTCAGAAACAGTTCAAGACAAGTATGTAACAAGAGCGGTTAAGTACCGAATCTTGAAACAATCCTATTTGAGTGACTTCTTGAGAACATTCCTCAAAAAGAACTTGAGTTTGTCGGTAAGAATAGGGACATATAGATAGCGCGACTACGTCGTAAGGAAAATGCTAGGTCCGTTAAATATCGTGTTCATTCTTTTTTGTTGATGTGTTTCAACATTATTGTTTGCAGCTGTTTCCTGGAGAATGTCTGGTAGCTAATGAGACCGTGAAGCATCTATGCCATAATGGAAACAGTCTATGGTACACCAGGGGATGTCCCAGCAGATTCGGGTGGCTTGCACTCATTGGCCTTGCCCTCTACATCATTTTCTTCTCTCCAGGAATGGGAACTGTGCCATGGATAGTGAACTCCGAGATATATCCTTTAAGGTATCGTGGAGTGTGTGGAGGAATAGCAGCCACAGCCAATTGGGTATCAAACCTTATTGTTGCTCAGTCCTTCCTATCATTAACCCAAGCAATAGGGCCTTCCTGGACGTTCCTGATATTTGGATTGATTTCAGTAGTAGCACTTATGTTTGTCCTCATATGTGTGCCTGAAACTAAGGGCCTTCCCATTGAGGAGATCGAGCAGATGCTTGAGAACAGGGCTTTGCATTTCAAGTTCTGGGAGAACAGGACAGATCTGTTGCCCAAAAGCTAAGACGCCTGAGAAAAACAGTACCCATAAGTAGTGTTGTATAACATGTGTTCATACAAGAGTGGTTCGATTCTATAGTGTTCGTGTTTGTTAATGGTGTCAATCGTGGGTAATGTGTTAATTCACATAAAGAATTCTCCAAAAGGGTCGCTGTGATTGCTTCTGCCACCGTCTATCTTGCTGGAGGAGTGGAATCAGGCGTAGTCGGTGGCCTTGGTGTCAATCGCCTCCGTGGATGGACGGGTTCGCCGCTCCGCCGTCACTGCGACTCAGTTCTACGATCTTCAAGATCGCCCAGCAAAGCCGTCGAGTGGCTGGTTGAAGCAGCTTCCGAACCCATCATCCAACAGGTATTTCAAGAACACATCATCCAATCATCATATTTAATAATAAATAAATAAACAATCCATTTTGTTTCCCTCTTCTTTAAATATATAAATTGCATCTTTGTTTTTGACTAGTGGTGGGCTTGAGTTATTACAAATGATATTAGAGCTAGACATCGAGCAGTGTGTCAGTGAAGGACGTTGGGTTCCCAAGAAGGGTAGATTGTGAGATCCACGTCACGTCAGTCGGAGAGAAGAAAGAAGAACGAAGCATTCTTTAGGAAGGAGGATGTGGAAACCTCTCCCTAAAACCCTTTTTTTTAGGGTGTGGGTTTACCCCAAAAAAGACAATATTTATTAACGGTGAGCTTGGGCCGTTACAGATGAGGCCATTAAACCGTTTTATAAGCTAAGATATCTCATCTAAAGATAACAATCCCATTAAATCAACTATAATGATAGATCGTGACTTAACAGGGAAGTAAAAATGGCATAAAATAGGGAAGGGGTAGAGAGTGGAAGGAGAGGAGGGCGTGTGTTCGAGTTCAACAAAGACTTCATTTTACGTGCATTCTCAACTCTACAAAGCTAAGAAAAGAAGATGTTTCATGTGAGACACAGCTAAGTCTGCATTATTTAAGCCTGTAATTAGATGGATGATACTCATCTATGACAGGGAACCAAATATGACACGTGCATATAATATTATTCCTTTCATGGTCACACATGTTTATGTATATACTATGATCATCCATCCAATGATATTAAAAATCCTGTTTTTTATTCAAGAAATAGAAATAATTGACATACAACGATCATCCAATCTAAGAGAGACAACAAATTACCAGTTCATGAAGGGTCAAGATCTCAAATTGGTCAAGCTTTCAAGTTAGAGCTAAAACATCTTAACATACATAGAGAAAAAAAAGAAAGATGAGTGAGTGGAAATAGACTCCCATCGAAGATCTTTCGTGATCCGCTGCCAAACTTCAAGAACTTTGTACTGACCAGTTGCCACAAAATTTTTCGGCCTCAAATAGGAAATGATACTCTAAATTATAGAACTATAATGAAATATACGATCAACCAACATTTATCAAATTTAAAAAAGGGGCAAAAGAAATGATTCGATCCTCTTGTTTTGATTTCTCGAACAGAGAGACCCATGAATCACCACAACATGTGCAAAATAGGACCAGCCAGCCAAAGTAAGGAAGTGCTGCACTAGTCCAAGAGTTGAAAAAGCAACCCTACTTACAACGTTTTAAGCCGAGTAGCATGGGGCACGTGGGATGGGCCGTGAATCAATCAACCTGCAACACACCTAATGGTCACCCTAGAGTCTAGAGCTCATGGAATTTTCTCTGGTCAAAACATTCCAACTCATTTTCTACACTATCATTGATCAATTAACAAGAAAAGTGAACAACTTTCTCAAGCTGAAGCAGTGGATAAGCCATGAACACACCTGACCTACCAAACAAAAAACACTAAAAAGCTGTTCGAATGGCTGAAAGCACAGACGACATATTAGGAACAAGATAAGGTCCATCACAGACACGCCAAGGCCAGATTTTGAGTGTCACCATTCAATTTCAAAGCATGGTCAATGAATTTGGCACTTACAACTCAGCTTTCTCATATTGTGCCAATATTCCATGCCCCACTCACATTCTACATCTAATGATATGCTCAGTTGCATCATTGCACAATAATGAGAAATAGCAGTGTACAAAGCCTGTTGCCTAATAATAGAGCCTTTTCCCCATTCCGTTTGTTTTTCTTTCCTATCCCTTCCCCAAATCCTAGATCCCAAATCCTAGATCCCATATCCGTTGGGGAAGAGAACGAAACATTTTCTTATAAAGGTGTGGAAACCTCAAACTAAGACGCGTTTTAAAAACCTTGAGAGGAAGCCCAAGGAGGACAATATCTGCTAGTGGTGGGCTTGGGCCGTTACATTACACTCATCATTCAGACACTAATCATACGAGTAAACAAGTTCCAGGCCAGCATGAAGAGATTATTTAACAAAGGCTTACATTTATAAACTTCAAACTATATCACATGAAATCATAATGAAGAGTCTTACCTACAGTATTCACATATACAGGATGGACAGAAGTTAAGGGACTACAAACTCAAAGCTTTTACAACATCATTCTAGCTGGCTGTTTGTCTGCACTCCAAATAGCAAATGCCTGTAACAAAAACAACCAGCAGATGCATTTTTCACTATTACCTTTACCAAAAACGGTCAACCGTTCGTATTATGATAATGCCAACGACGAATAAGTTCTCTTTCTTTCCCCCTTTTCGTGCCACTCCAGTCAGAAGTTCGTTTCATTGCCTTCCAGTTATCCGAGGTCGCACATCAATCAATAAGAATTGTTCTTCCTCATTCTCATTTTCTAAAGATATGCAATTTTCTCCCGCCCTTTGCACCATTGTTCTTCTATACCTGAAAACCCAAACTCTTTACAGTTACAGAATAAGAAAAGTTGAGGACTTTGAAGTAGCCTAAACAACTAGACGAGGTCGAGAAGTAAAACGTTGCCAAACTCACCATGATATCAGATAACTAAACTCGTTCGATGTACTTAATACACATATATAAGGAGCTGCTTTCGAAAAACAGTATGAAGTGGAGCTAGTTATGATCAAATTCACTTAGAAAGACCCAACCATTCACAATAATTGACCAATGTATTATTGTCCCGTTACGAATCGAAAAACAATATGCACAAGGTTCAGTTCACCCAAAAAAGAATCCAAATGAGCATTCTTTACTATAAACCATGGGGTCAAAGCCATGGACGACAAGTAAATTCGGTTGTACATAGACATAATAATACGAAGAATCCAACATATAAACACTCCTTGTAAGAATCAAAAACTAGGACGATGCTTGTATGCATTAAAGATTTACCTCGAGTTACTAATGTGCTTTTAGAAAGAGTTCATCTCAAGGCAGTACGTTCGCCTCTTAACTAACATCTTTGCAGCAGTCCTATATGGTTCTTCAAAAGCTGTTGAAGCCCAGGAGCAATCCGGAACATCCTTCTTCACCGCAGACTGTTCACTAGGCCGAATAGCAACCAGTGTAGCGCCTTTCAATATCAACCCATTGGGCAATTCTAGGTGTGTGGCATACCAAAGCCTCATATTCAGAGCTGGTACAAGGGTTCTCTTAGATGCCGAAGAAGCAGACAAGGGCTTCACCCTCAACTCCTCAAGTTGATCTTTGTTCATGCATAGCACCCCTTGTCCATCCGCATCAGTTAGAACCAAACTATCCAAGGTCTTGTGATCTGCTATTATTGGTTGCAGCAGATAGTGCCTGGCTGAAGCCGCAATAAGCGAACTAATCGTCCATACTACTCTCAATTTTAGACCTCCATTTGTGTAAAAGGATTCGGGTATACTCCCATTATCATCGCTAACGCCGCCATTGCCAATACAGAACCCCCCATCAGTCCCATTATCTTGAACAATCGAAGGCTTGAAAGAGCCGGGGTGAATCACCGAAGAAGCACCCAAAATCACACAATTATCCAAAGTGGATCCGAAATCGGCTCGCCATCTCAACAAAACCCCATCATCAATACCCAATTCCCCACTCGGAAGCTCGATCCGAAGGAGTCGAATCTCATTGAAATTCTTGAGAACTTGGGTCGGAGAGTGATGGGTCACTCCACCTTGATCAATTTCACCATCCTCTTCGGTCCCAACCGCAAGAGAGGTGGTAGAGGAAGAGGAAACCAAACTCGAGGACGCTCGTGTCTGACCCAAAAACTGGCTCAACGCTTGGAGGGGTTTGACAATGCCACCAAATACGAAGCGGAAAATATTAAAAAAGGGGCCACGAGATTTACCAGAAGAGGAAGAGGAAGAAGACGATTCGTCATCAGAAATAACACAATCCACACGAACAACAACGTTCTCCACCTGCGGCACAAGGCAGTGGAACCTTCGAGAAACAACGCAGCATCGACCAAGAGCCTTCACGTCACCGATCTTGTTGAAAATAAGAAGAAGAAGGGAATCAGGAAGACGATCGAAGTGGTCGATACAGGAAGAAGTGGAAATGGAGGCGGAATTAACAGAGAACGGAGAATCAGGTTCGGGGTAGATCTTAGATGTCAGATCTAGGCGCAAGGACGACATTATTAAAGGGAAACACACAGAGAGAGAAAGAATGGCGAAAATTGAGGAACAGAGAAGATGGGTAAGGCGGAAATCAAAATGGATGGCAGAAAACAGAGATGGGATTTGCAGGGGAGGCGGAAATGTGCGTATAAACAAGATGGGGGAGGGTAGATCCGAGTGGAAGAAGAGAAGAACCAGAAATTAAAACCCTAATCTGTTGAAAATCAGAAGAAATTGGGAGATGGGGAAGGAGAGGGTGGGAGAGAAGAAGAGAAACGGAGTGGAAAGAGTCGAAGAGAGAGAGAGAGATTAGAAGGGGAAGAAGAGATTCACAGATCCACGGTTTTGTCTTTTCAGAGAAGAAGGCGACATGAAAATGATGGAAGAGAGAGAAAGCTTGAGAGAGAAAATAACTGTGTTTTTTAGACACTCTTACCTTCTCCTTCCATTTTCCCACATCTTACTCTTAACTTTATATTAAACTCTACTAGCTTGCCCAAGGCTAGCATTCTATACTCAACCAGGTTCATGTCGTACGCTCGAATGTACGTGGCTCCACCACACCTTGCATATTTCGCTATCGGACCAGTCATCCACCATCCTCAAGCCAGCCAAAGTTAGGAGGCAGCGTCACAACATTCTATTCTCAACGAGGCTCATGTTGCACGCCCAAAAGCACTCGATTCCACCCCACTGTGTTGTTGTCAAACACCCTCGACCTCCGACCACCACGCTCACACCCCAAGCATATGTTCAATTAGCTCAAATGTGTATTACGATGAGTATGCCATCAACACACACTAGTATGTTAAGTCAACTACATGACTACGATAATTTTCGTGATATACAGTGATACCAGTCGCCCAAAAAATTTCGTACTTATTAACTCACTTATATACCTATGATTTTCAGATTTCCTAGTCAAGGTAAAAATTTAGTTGTATGATGTATTTGTACCACTTAATATGTTTAAGCATAATACAAGAGGTTCTATGAGAAATAATTATGTTAAGTCATATAATTCGATTGTCTCGAGAAAATAATTGAAGACATTTACTAAGTTAAGTAGGAGAGAATGTCACAATCTCACCGAAAGAAAGTAGGTTGTGACCTCACATGCAAGACAGACAAGAGACGACTATTGAGTGGCACCCATCCGACCACGTAAGGGTTAAGATTGAAAAGTATCATGATGTGACTGAAAAAGTCGGTGCACCATCCAACACATTAAGAGTTATGCATTAAAAAAAAGACACTACATAAATATGTTCCTAAAATTCATTTAAAGTAGGACGGAACAATATTTGAACTAAAATATGTTTAATTCTCGAAAAATAATATATTTTTAATATAAAGTAATGTAAATTTAGATGAATAATGTGAACATATAGTATATAAAATAAGGCAATAAATAAGCATACAAATAATAGAAACTTTAGTTATTAATGAAATTAAAATGGTCACATCAACAATATTCATTCTATTCACTTCCAATTTTGTATGATCATCAATACAAACTATTATTTCTCTAATATTTATAATAATATATAATAATAATAATAATATGAAGAGAGAGGAAAAATAAACAATATATAATGGGAGTGTTAAGGTGGGGGCAAGTACTGCATAACTTTGGTGTGGTGGGTTTAGGGTCATAGCCAAGTTGTGTTGGGCCAACTGGTCTAGGGCCTATCTTTTAATTATTTTTAATATATTTATTTATTTATTTATTACTACCTAAACACCTATAATCCTAACTAACATTAAAGTGTCACTAATAATTAATATTGTTTTTCTTTTTACAAAAATATTATTTTATCTTTCCAAATTAGTTTGGAATCAAAGGAGAATATATATATATTTCCACTCGGTATATATTCCGTCTATTTGAATTTTTAGAAATTATGTTAAATATTATTATATTTTTACTTATGATATATTATTAAATTAATTACGAACTTTTACATTTTTTTTTATAGAAATTAATCAAAAATTTGAAATTATTTAAAATAGTAAATTATTTCAGCTATGTTCTATGAATTTTTCATGGATAATTTTTGTCTCAAAATTTCTATAAACAAAATACGTTCAAGAGATTAAATGTTTGAATTCTTTTATTTAATGAAAACACAATAATTAAAGTGCGATTTGATAACGATAATTTTTTCACCTTCTTTTAGAAACCCGTCACATCATTTATAACTATAAAATCAAATTTGCTACCTATAGTACGACAATACGTAGAGTTGAAAGATTCAAAAATTTAATCTCTTTAACTAAAAGTGTGCACATAAATCAATTGAATTGTATTCAAGTTGATGAGATAAATAATTAGAGTACGTTCCATTAAAATAAAGTGGGACAAAGAAGCGGTTGGGTTCATAAATGAAGCTCCATATTTTGCTTAACTTTTTGTATGGACCTTCAACTATTTTACTTGAATTCTCCCTTAACCACGTGCGAAAAGCGGACACTTCTGTAATTAGAATAAAGATCTTTTTTTATTTTTTTATTATATTTTTTTCAAATTTTTGCAACAAGAAAAATCCCACGTGCCAAAAATAAAATATATATCCATATTTATGTATGTAAATAATTATAATATCCTATCCAATAAAAATAATTTTAATTTTAATCTAATAAAAATATGTGTTTATTTATAATTTAATTTTATAGCACATTGGAATAAAAATTATTGAAAAATTAGATGACCAATCCCATCCAGGTATCACCCATGAAGGGTTGATTGGATTAGATGACATAAAAAACAATCAATGATAAAATCAAAATTATAAATAAATAAATAAATTATCCTTGAAAAAAAAAATATATTTTTGCACGTGCCATGTCTCGGAAGCAATTAATACAAAGTGAATAAAAACTTTTTAAAAAATTTCCTAGAAAAAACAAAAATATAACATGATTGAATTTCATAAGGTATAAATCGTACCAAAAGTACGTAACACGATCATAGTAATTTTAAAAATTTATGATACTAAATTCATGAATGAATGAAATAATTTGAGTACTTAAATGTAAACTCGAGAAAAATTGAACAATTCTACTAGTTCAACCACTGTAAACTGGTTTTATGGTGAGTTAAGTCAGATTACTAATGTGTTATTGATCTTGGTCGAAAAATTAAAATTTCTCACTTATTGAATGTTTTAAAAATTAAAAATGAGCCCGAGATATTAGTTTATTGAAAAAAAAAAAAAGTCATATTACTTATTAATTAAATGAATAAATAAATAATAAGAAAATGCTAAGTTAGCTTGAGAGTGGGAAAGATGACTAAATAAAAAAATAAATATATACGTTGATTAAGTTATACGTTGGTATAATATCTTTTTATTTTATATTAATTATTATCCAACTTATTTTAATAATTATGAATAAAATGGTAATTAATAAAAAGGGATAAAGAGAAAAATAATAAATAAGTTTAGGAATACATTTAATATCAAATGGCGTAAGCCTAAAGAGGAAATAAAGACCAATAAGAACACGTGAAACAAAAATTTGGAGTGGCAATTCAAGTAATTATGTGGAAATGAGGGGTGGATTTTATTTTTATTATTAAAAATAATTGAAGTTTGGAATTTTTATATTTTTCAATTATATGCAAGTATTTGTCATGTCATTTGATTTGATAATTTTGAGTCAAATTGCTATAACATCTTAAAATTATGTTTTGGAATATTTTATAACAATAATATTGATTTGATTCCATAACTAATTGATTATACCGTAATGAAATAGTCGACTAATAAATAGAAATGTTCAAATGGCTCGAGAATTCGATCAATTCGGACTAAACAAGTCAAATCATAAAAGTTCATTTGAGTTAAATTTTTTTTTTCTGGTTTGGGTTAGGTTGATTTTTTGAAAAAAAATAAAAAATTTAGATTGGTTCGTGGGTTGAAATTTGTTTAGTTGAGTCAACTCGATCCATCCCAAACATGAGTTACAACTCAATCCTAATTTTAAGATTTTATGAAATTAAGAATATTTGATATTTGTCGCTGAGTATTTGATATTTGAGTTTTATGATATTTTAGTTATTAATGCAACATATATGGTGGATAAACATAATTTTTTTAAAAAAATAATTAAAAGAAAAGAACAACTCGATTGGGTTGAGTTGTAAACTCTATTTAGATTGATCCGTCACCAATCTAACTAGACATTTTGAGTTGGTTCAAAAGATTACTCCAACTTAGGTAGTTATGCCCTATAAAAATATGTATTTTTTCTTAAGCTTAATAAAATTTTTGAATTTAAATATTTTATATCTAATAGATTTTTACGCTCTAAAATGTTTAATATATTTTTTAATTTTAAATTTTATAATTAATAAGTCACTTGTAATTTAAAAAGTTTAAAATTTAATTAATCTATGGAATATAAATATAAAATTTATTTTTAATAAAATAAACTCCCTATTAAATCTACTATTATTTAAATAAAATATTAAATCTATCGATAACAAACTTAAAAGTTTTTAAACTCTTGTCACAATAGCACTTTGATGGCAGCGGACTTGTGATGGTGCGACACTAACTTCTAATCAACAAATAAGTTAAGTTTATTCGATCTCACGTCGCCTACGGCCAAGCAACGTATGCTCGAGTCTTTGGCCCCAGTTCAAGAAGAAAGTTTTAGAAAGCGGGAAGAGAGATTTTAAAAAGAGTTTTGAAAGCAAGATTTAAAAAATTGAAACTGGTGTTATATGAGAATGTAAGCAAAAGGCAACAACAACGACTTACTGCATATAATTATTGGATAGAGAGAAGTTGACAACTAATCATATGCCTTGTAGTACATTTTGGGACATTTTAACTCTTTTAGGTGTAGACATGATTTTTGTGAACGATCATACACCCTCATACTAACCCAATATGAAACGGTAAAGACCTATCTACGATGAAAGCATGTAAAAGGGATTTGGAATGGGCATGCAACCATGGACAACACGTCCTGGACAAGCAAGACTGGGATATCTGTCATGCGACTATTGACAACACGCCTTGGACATGCATGACCGTGACATCCTCCTCCACTCAATTGGTTGACGTCCCTGTCAACTAGCCCAAACAAGCAAGATTAGGACATTTATCATGCGATCATAAACAACATGTTTTGGATAAGCATGATCGTAACATGCTTTTAAAAAATTAATAAATTTATTAGGTATAAAATTAAAAGTTTATGGATTTATAACTTAAATTGTTTATTAACTTCTTTAATAAAAATAAAAATGCAGCTAGCAAATAAAAATAATAATAATTAAAGTACTTTTATTTCCCTTACGTCATAGCATAATTTAAATAATTCATGATCATGAACTTTATTAAAAATAAAATTCCAAGAAAGAAATAAATATTTACACGAATCATTCAAACGAATTAAAAAAAAAAGATAACGCCAAAAATAAAATTCTGAATATTTATAATTAGAGATATATAGCCAGAATAATTTGATACACTTGCATAAATAAATCCAAAATAAAAATTATTGCCTAAATATTATAATAATACAGCTAAGTTTATTTATTTATTTATTATTTTTATAAATTTTCAACATACATTAATGTGGTCCAGCTAACTTAGCATTATAAATATTTTAGGACATGACCCACAATATTTATTTATTTATTTATATTAAAATTTTCTAATAATAATAATAATTAAAAAAAAAAAAAGTTTCAAATTATTGTGTCTCTAATATGTCCCTTCTCTTAGTCTAAAATGTGCATGTCTCTTATATTATATACTTCGTCTATTAATTATATATAAATTTTTATATGATTTGAAAGGGTAAACATTAAATAAATCTAATTACTCCTTAAATTATATAATTTTCATTTAATTCAAAATTAAAATATTAAATATTAATCATTTCGATAGGTAAATTTATTACTCAATTTTAATATATATATTTTAAATATACTTAGAAATGTATCAGTTTTATTTACGTGGACTCAAACTAACCTAAATAAGTTGATAACTCAACTCACTTGATCTGGTTATCGAATTATTTGAACACCTCTAATTTATATGATTTAAATGAGATATGGTTAGTGTAACAGCCCGAACTCTCCATTGGTATATCGTCTTCTTTAGACTTTTCTTTTCGGACTTTCCTAAAATTTTTAAAACGTATCTGGTAGTGAGAGATTTTCACACCTTTATAATGCTGAGTTCCCTCTCCAACCGACGTGGGATCCCACAATAATGCCACAATATATATGTAATGCCCTGTAAACCAAAGATTATTATTAAAATAGAGCCTATAGTAGCCTAAGCAACTGATATATGAACTTATAAATAGAACAGTTAGAACATTGTTGAAGCCATGCATTGAACACATATCTATATCAAACAGATTGATAGCAATCCACAGTATGAGTGTAGTACACAATGTTCAAGAAAAGTTTCAGAGAAAACCCAGAATTTATTGGCTTAGGATTGAGGGGTTGAAGAACACAAGAAGTTGAGAGCTTTTAATCTTCAGAAGCATATAGGTTTCTTCCACAGCGATCACATATGTTGGGATCACTTGGGGAGGAACTGTGTGGCTTTTCCTTCATCAGCTGTGGAAGATCAATTTCCAGCACATCATGGAGTGCCTTGGACCCTTCTTTCACCTCATCCAAACTGCACAACAAATGCTTATTTATTATCACAACTGAGACGTACTAATATTGTTCGAGTTTTTAAAACGCGTCTGCTAGGGAGAGGTTTCCACATCCTTATAAAGAATATTTCGTTCTCCTCCCCAACCAATGTGAGATTTCACAATCCACCCCCTTTAGGGCCCAGTGTCCTTACTGGCACTTGTTCCCCTCTCCAATCGAGGTAGGATCTCACAATCCTCCCCCCTCTTTGGGGCTCACGCTAGGCACTCGTTCCTCTCCGTGACCCAACGTCCTCGTTGGCCTTCGTTTCTCTCTCCAATCAATGTGTGATCTCACAATCCACCTCCTTTCAGGACTTAACTCACAATCAATGTCTGGCTCTGATACCATTTGTAACAGCTCAGATTCACCGCTAGCACATATTGTCCTCTTTAGACTTTCCCTTTTGAGATTCCTTTCAAGGTCTTTAAAACACGTATGCTAGAGAGAGGTTTCCACACCGTTATAAAGAATGTTTCGTTCTCCTCCCCAACCAATGTGAGATTTAACAATCCACCCCCTTTAGGGCCCAGTGTTCTCACTGACACTTGTTCCTCTCTCCAATCAAGGTAGGATCTCACAATCCTCCCCTTTTTGGGGACCATGCTGGACACTCGTTCCTCTCCATGGCCCAGCGTCATCGCTGACATTCGTTTCTCTCTCCAATCAATGTGTAACCTCACAATCCACCCCCCTTCAGAACTCAGCTCACAATCAATGTCTGGCTCTGATACCATTTGTAACCGCTCAGGCCCACTGCTATCACATATTGTCCTTTTTGGGCTTTCCCTTTCGAGTTTTCTTTCAAAGTTTTTAAAACGGGTATGCTAGGGAGAGGTTTCCACACCCTTATATAGAATGTTTCGTTCTCCACACCCTAGTATCCGTTTAAGTTCCAGCATATGTTACAACAGTTATAAAAGATTTGGCATACCTTATGGAAAGTGGAGGAGTTAACCGAATTATAGAATCATGTGTTGGCTTAGCAAGAACTCCCCTCTCCTTCAACTTCATGCAAATATCATATGCAGAAACAGGAAATAAGGCTTTGCTTTTGAGCTCCACAGCATTAAACAAACCTCTTCCTCGAACGTTCTTGATGTATCGTGGGAATCGTTCCTGAATTTCGACGAGCTGTTTTCTGAGCTCCTCTCCTAATTTAGCTGATCTGCACGTTATGTCAAAACCCGTGTTCAACATTTCTAATATCATTAAGAGAACAAAAAACAAAGAGGAAAAAGAAGGCAACAATTCATCATACCTCTCAGCAAGTCTCTCATCTTTGATCACTTCAAGCGACGCAATAGCAACGGCACTTGCCAACGGATTACCCCCGAACGTACTACACATTGTAAGATAAAGGGCAAGGTCAGTTTTAATTGATATCACTACACAGCAGCTGTTCCAAAATTTGAGGAGAAGAACAGGTAAAACACTGGCTTTAAAGAGACTTCAAACTCGTTTCGATATGGACTATTCTATTGTTCGAGACAAAGTATGTTACAGACCTCCCATGCTCTCCGGGTTGGATACAAAGCATTACGTCTTTGTCAGCAAGAACAGCACTTACAGGTATTACTCCACCTCCCAATGCTTTTCCCAGAATCTGAAATGAACAACCATGTAGAAGTTTATTCGCTGACGAAATTCTCGTACTAACGAAACGTTTAGGTATCCATATCAAGCAGTTTAAGCTCGAGTGATTTCTTTTAAAGGGTGAAGGCTCGAAAAGGAAAAAGCTGGTATGAACAAATATAGACAGAAGTATGGTTAAGAAGCTCAGTATACCATTCCTCAATTAGTCCTTTTTTCTTTTTTCTTTTTCCTCCTATTTTATGACTCGATCGTCAAAGCTATGAACGTTATACTTTTTATAGTCAAAACATGGCTAAGAATGTAGCAACCAACTTCAGCAGCACCGATACAGTCGACCCAAAAACATGCTTTAGATGTAACATTTCTTATCTTCATTCGACGTGCTTTCGAAACATTGCTATAACATGCACATTGCTATAACATGTTCTAGTAAGAATCTTCCCACTTGCGACATTTGTTCATAGAGTCAAGCCCACTATTAGCAGATATTGTCCTCTTTGGGCTTTCCCTTCCAGGCTTCTCCTTGTGGTTTTTAAAACGCGTCTGCTATGGAGAGGCTTCCACACCCTTATAAGGAATGCTTCATTCCCCTCACAATCCACCCCCTTGGAGGCCCAACGTCCCCGCTGGCACACCATTTGGAACTTGGCTTTGATACCATTTGTAATAGTTTAAGCCCATCGCTAGTAGATATTGTCCTCTTTGGGCTTTCCCTTTCAGGCTTCCCCTCAAGGTTTTTAAAACGCGTATGTTAGGGAGAGGTTTCCACACCCTTATAAGGAATGCTTCGTTCCCCTCTCCAACGAACGTGGGATCTCACATGATCATTCCTACATTTGTTGGTTTTTCATTATTTCCATAGCTAAAAGCTTTCAAAGCGAATTGGTAGATCTAATGCGTTTTACAAGAATATAAAACAAAAGAAGCTAATAGGCCATTGATTGTCCTAAACCAGCCTAATCCAGAATGAAACAATACGAATGAGGTAAGGGGAGAGAATGCATTACCACTAAATCTGGTCTGACATTTTCCCAATCACAAGCCAATAATTTTCCTGACCTTGCTAAGCCAGATTGTATTTCATCAGCAATCATTAAGATATTATATTTCGTGCAAAGATCTCGCACGGCTTTCAAGTAACCATCGGGGGGGATAATAACCTAAAAGAATATCAAAATATCCTTATAAAAATGATTTGGAATTCAGAAAGGAAACAGTAAGAGTCAATAAATTAGGTAGCAATCCTAATTCATCAATGTAAGAACAGATAGGAACAATGTAAGATCCTTTTAACCCATTATTTTATTCACTATAGTTGGTGAAAAACCCCGATATAAATGCAGCTGAAAACATCGATCATACGTACCCCTGCCTCTCCTTGAATCGGCTCAAACAAAAACCCAGCTATTCGGTCTCCGTGTTCTGCATTCCATAAGAATGACAAGCAAGAAGTTAGACCAGATGCCTAAGTATAAATCCCCATTACCAAGCAAAATATATATATATATATATGTAACGCCTCAAGCCCACCGCTAGCAAATATTGTCCTCTTTGGGCTTTCCCTTTCGGGTGTCCCATTAAGATTTTTAAAATGCGTCTGCTACGGAGAGGTTTCTACACCCTTATAAAGAATGTTTCGTTCTCCTCCCCACCCGATGTGGGATCTCACACACACGCTATATATATATAGATACACACATACATATACACACGCACATATAGGGCCTCTTTCATAAATACATGAACAAGATGCCTCTTTCATAATCCTTTTAGTAACAAATTTCTTGACATGTAAACCACAAACATGAGAGTAACCATGTCTTGGAATAATATATTCCTCTTACCTTTAAAGATTTTCTCAAGGGCAACTGCATCACCAAAATCAACTTTAAGATGTCCAGGCAACAAGGGCCCGAATTCACGGGTTGCTTCATTGTCACAGCTCATGGATATAGCACCCAATGTCCGGCCATGAAAGCAACCACAACAAGAAACAATAATAGCCTGCATATGCAAGAGAAGAGATGAGACTTCAAGTGCTCCCAACTAAAATGGAGTACAAATAAACTTTCAAATTTTGAAGATCACGATCTGTAACAACCTTAACCCATCGATATCAGATATTGTCCTCTTCGGGTTTTCCCTCAAGGTTTTAAAACGCGTCTGCTAGGGAGAGGTTTCTACACCCTTATAAGGAATGTTTCGTTCCCCTCTCTGACCAATGTGGGATCTCACACGATCTAAATAAGAACATAAAAGTTCCTGATACCATTACCGTACCTCATCTTTGGGAATTTTCTTCTTCTTGTAACCCCATTTCCTTGCCACCTTCAAAGCAGTTTCCACTCCTTCAGCACCAGTGTTCATTGGAAGCACCATATCATAGCCAAAAATTTGTGTCAAGTACTCAGCAAATGGGGGAAACTTATCGTTATAGAAGGCTCGAGAGCTAAGAGTGAGTTTTTCTGCTTGTTCTTGGAACGCTTTGACAATCTTTGGATGACAATGTCCCTACACGAACAAGGCAATAAAAAAATCAATTAAACATTGAATAAATGATCAAACAAGACAGTTAATGTTGAGTAATTTCTAAAACAAACACCTATTATCAGCATTAATAATGCTAAAAAAGATCGAGACGTTTAAGGAAACTTTTCGAATGAAGATTACCATAACCAGCCCCCATTTACTTTGAGATCAAACGAGGAAACACGCCATCATTCAAATAACTTTCACATTTGATTCACATAATGCATGGAGATCAGTTATACTAAAGTACCTGGTTGACAGCAGAATAAGCTGATAGAAAATCCAGATATCTCTTACCCTCTGGGTCCCATATAGATGATCCCTTTGCTTCAGAGAATACAACTGGAATTGGGTGGTAGCTGCATCGACGAAAAGTAGCCATCCATAACGGCAAAATCGACGTAAAGAAGCACATTCACAACTAACAAAGGAGATAAGTATAGACAATTTACAGACTACAAGACCCTTCTTCTGGTAGAAAGGAAATTCAAGGCTTTTGAAGGGCATTTGATATAGCATAGACTTATTTAAACTTCATGTTAGGAATCACGAATCTCCACAGTGATATGATATCCTCCACTTTGAGTATAAGCTCTCACGGCTTTGCTTTGGGCTTCCCCAAGAAGCCTCATACCAACGGAGATGTATTCCTTACTTATAAACCCATGATCATTTCTTGAATTAGCCAAAGTGGGACTCCCTCCCAACAATCCTCACCACTTCGACCATTTGATGAGTAACATGACTACAAAAACTTATGTCTAACCAATAATTTAAGCATCAAACACTCTCTTATAAGCATTCATTTCACAAGATGATTGATATCTTCTGATAGATAGCTTTCGAGCATGAAACTCAGAAGCTTGCTGAACAGCATCTCATAGAATGAGACAGTCCACTAAAGACTAAGCATGTCAGGATTGAAACAATAGATATGGAGAGAAACAGAGAGAACCCACAAGCTAAAACAACAGAAACCGACAGAATTCATTCAATTCAAGATAAGAGCAAGAGTTCAACAGGATAGGAAGCTCACTTATGGGCACTATGATCTTTTTCCATATGGATGAGCTTCTCAGAAGCAGGAAAAGAAGAGGCACTGCTTTCAGGGACCGTAGAAAATGGCCTCCTTCCCCTGCAAACCAACCCGACCAAACATTGCAGCTGCCTCCTGGACGCCATTAACGAAAGGGGTTTTTTTCAGAAAAGCTTGTGTCAAACAAATTTCCCTTCTGGGTTTCTCCTCACAGCATCCACAGAGCGAAATATCCAAACCCCAGATTCCAAACGAAGGCCTTTTATACGGCTACGCTATGTTTTTATGAAATGGAATCGAGTAGGTTAAACAAATCTCTAAAAAGCGATTGAAATAGGGAACCGTTTTTTCTTAAAATGAGTGTCCCATTAGCTCAACACCGTGAAATTTTGCTTGTTTTTACATCGCAGGCTGACATCCAACATAAACGGACAACCTTGCCTGAAAAGAATTCGTGTTGTACACGCAGCCCGTGAAGCGGCACGGTATTCAAAGAATTCAGCTAAAAAATGTTAAATAAATTTCTAAACTTTAAAATTTAAACAACATTTTGGTTGAGCTTATTAGTAATTTAATTTTTGTGTTAATTAAATGTTGTTATTGGGAAACTAATGTGACACCTTTTGTTATATATATATATATATATATATATATCATTTTTCTCTCACCAAAATATTTTTAATATTAAATTTATATTTTCTTACAAAAAAATATATATAAAGTTAACTTCGACAAAAACTAAAACGATATCAAATTCAAATTTTAGAAACAAAAATATTGTTTTATATAAAATAAATTCTGATATATTAGATAAAAATAATAATTGATTAATAAGATATAAAATTAGATGTTTTATTTATTTATTTATTTTATTTAATAAGATCAGATATAATTCTATAAATTTTTAATTAAAATTTATTAAATAGTTAGATAAAGATAAATTGGAAATTCAACAATTTATTAAAACATTTATTTAAAAAGAAAACTAAATATTAAAGATTTGTAGTTTTAACCCTTATTTCTCCGGTCTCATCCGCGACAGGAAGCTTAGAATTACAATCGGCCGCCAAGATCGACTCTGTTCTGCCGACTCCCACCGTCTCTTTCTCTTCGTCCACTCCGGGTATGATTCTGGAGCTTTTATCTTATTGTTTTCCCTGTTTTAATGGCGGTAATCTTTCCTTAAATTTTAAACTCCACAATGGCGTCGCCGATGATGCCGATTCGTGGCTCTTTCCTCTGCGAACTCCGTATTCTGGATGATTCTATTGGTGTTATATTCGCCTTTCTTTCTAATTGTATTTGTTGTTTTATAAGCGAAGCAAAATGTTTTGAGTATTGTACTTACTCCATTTCGGTGGATCCTTCGAGCCTTCTAGGTAATTCAAAGTTCGGTTTCGTTTTTCCCTGCCTCAGATTATTGGGTTTCTGTTAGGTCTGAACATGAATTGGCTGACTGTTGGATTAGAAATTGTACCCTAATGCCATAACCAAAATGTTCTGATACCCAATTGTTCTAGTGAAATGCCACACCCAAAAATGCTTTGATACCCAATTGTTGTACCAAAAGCTCTTATACCACTTGTTGTCCAAAAAATGCCACAACCACGAAGCTCTGATACCAATTGTTGTACCAATAGCGAAAGTAAAATCGATGGTACTCACACACCCACTAACTGAAATTAAACAAAAGACAAAGATTTACGTAGTTCAGAGAGGAGAAATTCCCCTACATATACGAGTAGCAACCAATCTCAATAATCAAAGTGTTACGAAGTGTAGATCTCACACTTTCACTTTACAAAGTCTTTCAACAAAAGTTTCTTCCGAATGTCACTCAACAAATACAAAATGACACACAAGCTCCCATAAAAAACAATACTCTCGATCATCCTAGACAACCAAAATAAATAAGAATATTATTCAAAAGGGTTATAAACTAAATGAGAGTTAATAACCAAATTAAATGAGATCTATGACAATTTACAACAATCTCCACCTTGTCAGAAGCTCCCCAAGCAGATAACTGGTTTGGTTGTCACCAAGTCAACATACTACTTCCAATTTTCTTGAATCTGCCTACCAAATCTCCAAACGATATCATATGATTTTCCTATGATTGATAGAGTTCCCACAGCTACAAAGATGCTATTCAGAGCTCGGATAGTTTACACTGGCAAGTGGCTATGAATCAGGAGAATCAAATCTCCAAACGATAGCATATGATTTCCCTATGATTGATGGAGTTCCCACAGCTACAAAGATGCTATTAAGAGCTCGGATAGTTTACACTAGCAAGTGGCTATGAACCAGGAGAACCAAATCTCCAAACGATAGAATATGATTTCCCTATGATTGATGGAGTTCCCACAACTACAAAGATGCTATTCAGAGCTCGGATAGTTTACACTAGCAAGTGGCTATGAATCAGGAGATAGAGTCATTGCAGATAAATCAGACTTGGGACTTAGGACATCTTCCAAAAGGTAGGAAGGAAATTGGTTGTAAATGGGTTTATGCAAAACAAGGAAGATTCTTCTGGTATACGTTATAAGGCACGACTTGTGGCTAAAGTTTATGCGTAGAAGGAAGATATTGATTACAATGAGATTTTCTCACCTGTGGTAAAGCATTCTTCCATTCGAATTTTGTTGGCTTTGGTTGCTCAATTTAATCTTGAGCTTGCACAACTTAATTTAAAAATGGCAAGAAATATATATGGCACAACCAGTTGGTTTTTACATGGTTGGGCAACAACATTTGGTATGCAGATTGAAGAAATCTATGTATGTGTTGAAGCAATCTCCTCACCAATGGTATAAAAAGTTTGATCACTTCATGGTAAAGCATATGTACACTCATAGTCAATTTAATCATTGTGTGTATTATCGGTGCCTTGATGATGGATCGTTTACTAAGTCCCAAGTTTGATTTAACTGCAATGATTCTATCTCCTGATTCATAGCCACTTGCTAGTGTAAACTATCCGAGCTCTGAATAGCATCTTTGTAGCTATGGAACTCCATCAATCATAAGGAAAGCATATGCTATCGTTTGGAAATTTGGTAGGCAGTTTGAAGAAAATCTGATCAATGTTAGAAGAAGAAGTAGTTTGTTGACTTGGTGGCAACTAAACCAGTCATCTGCTTGGGGATCTTTTGACAAGGTGGAGATTATTGTAAATTGTCATAAATCTCATTTAATTTGGTTATTAACTCCCATTTAGTTTATAACCATTTTGATTAAATAAGAATATTAATTTGGTTATTAATCCTCATCGCTTGATGATTCATATTATCATTTTGACATGAATCATCCTTATATAAAAAGTTGTCTAGGATGATTGTGGGTATTGTTTTTTATTGAGTTTGTGTCATTTGTATTTATTGAGTGTCATTTGAGAAGAACTTTTGTTGAGAGACTTTGTAGTATGAGATATACACTTTGATTATTGAGATTGGTTGCTACCCGTAGATGTAGGGGAATTTCTTATCTTCAAACCATATAAATCTTTGTCTCTTTGTTTAATTTCAGTTGGTGGGTGTGTTAGTACAATCAATCTTACTTCTGCTATTGGTACAACACCTTAATCGAGACGGGAATTTGATATATTAACCTGGAGATGAGGGGTTTAAGTTTCTGTAGATGCTTACTTGGATTGAATATTGTGTAAGTGGACTTAGAGATGGTACAATGGATTAATCTCAGGCGCTTGACTTGTAACGTTTGCATGTAAAAGTGAGATTTGTTTGCGTTGATTCAAAACTAGATAATCGAAGGTTCTAGTGAATGTGTATTCTAATTCCTTAACCAGAATTGCTATGAAATCCTGCCATAACCATTTTAATTTTTAACCATTTCCTCTAGTTTAAAGGAATAATGTGCTTGGACTTTACCCTGTCCTTGTCGAATCACTCATGCCTTAAGAGTCACAACTTGCAATTAATCAGTCAAGTCAAGAGCTCTAGACCACTTGCCTCCTCCCTCTGTACCTGCTACAGGGCCTCCTGCAATATCATCTGTAATGATGATCTTGAGAGACATTCTTTTGAGTTTTGACAAAATTGTTAGTATTAGCTGTATGCTAGTCTCTTTGATCAATTTACAGACTCACCAGTATTGGTTTTGTGGGTTGAGATAACTAGAGTACTAAAGTGGGGTTATATCTCTTATATCATGATCTCTGGTAGAGTTATCATCATTTCCATCCATTACCTGTTGTTTGTATGCCCTTATATGTGGTGGAATGATAGTTGCTCTTATTGGGATTGTTCTTTTGGCAAATGCATTTCTCTACATAATTAGAATACAGCTTTTAAGAACATTGTTTGTTATAATGAAATTATGTGAATAAGACCTGATCTGTCCTGCCATTAGTTTTCCATTGATGGATTCTTTGTCTCTTGTGTTTAGCATTCGTTACTTTTATGGCTTTGATCTTTTCCTCATTTCACAAAATCCCAATCTCTTTCCGACAATTTTAACCCGTTTTTTCACTCAGATTACAGTGACTTTAGTTGCAATTCTGATTATATAATTGGGCCTGTTCATCAACTACAACTACCTTTCCACTTATAGGGACCAATTGAAGTAACCATAGATGGAACAAGAATCAGGAGGATCCATGGTTCAGGTTGGTTGCAATGTTGAGTCTAATCCAGACAGTTTAGATCGTGTAGGAAAGGTGAGAAAGCTTCTGTTCCGTCGAATGCTCATAGGTATTAAAGATGGAAGGTTTTTCTTGGGCTCCTTTTACTGCATGGACAAGCAAGGAAATATCATCCTTCAAGATGCAGTAGAGTATCGTAGCACTCGGCGTAGCTCACCCTCTCCGATGGAACAACGGTGCCTAGGTCTTATTCTTATCCCTAACTCTTGCCGTGTATCTTGTCATGTAGATAGTACCATTGATGAACAATTGGCGCTGTTATCTGTTTAGCTAATAAGATCAAGCCTTAGGCTAAGAGGGGAGGGGGGAAATCTGCACACTTGTTTGAAGAGAATGTTTATGACGGTTTCTATTACTACAGAAAAATTCTAAAACAACATGATGTTTTAGTGGAAATATGGGCATTTTTTAAATTTAGTTTAGAACTCAAATGTGTTAACGTTACAAGCTTACTATAGACATTTAAACAAACACACAATCGCCAAACTCTTCCCGTTGCATTTCATCAATCGTAGCTTCAATGATAGAATTACCTAACAGAGAGAAGGAAGAATAATACTCAGACCAAGATCTTGAAATGTATATGGATACTACGTTAGAGAAAGCAAATTCATTTACAGTGTGGTCTAAGGTCTTGAAGAGGAGTTGGTTCTGCCTGAATGACTGCTGTGTTCCCTCAAGATAGTAAAACTCGTTCAAAATCTCTCACTGTAAGGCGTTCCATATACAATAAGATATGGCACAGTCCGTACAACTGTGTCTATTGGTATAGCAAAATTAACACCAGAAGACATTCCAGTTCCTGTAGGGAATAACCAAAGATGAAACCGCAACTTAGAATTTAATAAGCACAAAAAATACCATTATTTAGTCGTTCTTTCTTTCTTTACTGTTGTGAAGACTGTTCTTTCAAGTGGCTAGAAAAGGTTGAACTAGCTTTGATACTTACTAAGGCAAAGAAATTATGCATTCATATTTCCACTGACAAACTAAGGCAGATGAAGAAGTTAAGATCCTTCACCTTTGCGAGTGAAAGTTGCTGTGTTGACTCCAATTACATGGCCGTACAAGTCAACTAATGGCCCCCCTGAATTCCCTGTAAAACTTCTATGCATTATAATGGATGACTTGGGCAGCATAAACCAGAGACCGAATAGAAAGAACAAGATAAGCTGGGAATTTAACTGTTCAATAGTTTCAAGATTCAAGATCAGTGGAATCAATAAACACTTGTAATATGAGTGATGAAAGGAGAATAGCTTTGAAAAGGGAGAAGAAAGAGCATGAAAAGATAACAGAACAGTGTTTGAAATGGAAAAATCTTATTTCAGGAAGTTGAACCATGAACCTGCACTAATAGCAGCATCTGTCTGAATAGCTCCCCTGATGGCCCTTCCATTTGGGGATGGAATTTCTCTACCCAATCCGCTGATCACCTGCTATCCAAACCCTGAATGATTTACGGTTCTTAATTATTTAGTCAATCTGCTATATGACTCTGTGTTACTTGGGTAAAGAACACCAGTACGAAACTTGATATGACACTTGAAGAAAGCATAAATGTGTGTGAGATCAGAGATATTATAAACTTCTATGATTAATATGTTCATTATAAGAGAGAAGTATTAGTTTTAGGTTTGGAATGGAAAACTCAAAGTGGGTTTCCCTATATTAAATGGAGGAAGTAACATTCTTGATGCCTTACTCCTGCTGTGAGTGTCTTCTCATAACCAAAAGGGTTGCCAATGGCATAGCAGCTCTGACCAACACGTAAACTTCGAGAGGTACCAAAGACTATGGGCTTTAGTTCATGTCCTTCAAGTTCCACCTGGATGTTACATGGAATCTTCAGAATCAGCCAATCATGGTTTCTAACAAGCACAAACATTTTAGTTTGGGCAGTGTGTCCGTCTCCAACACGTTTCAAACACTTGGACACTCCAACACTTATTGGACACATGGAATACTTGTTAGCACATACTTTATGTGTTCGACACTAGTTGCACAAAGTCGATATAGGATTATCATTTGTGAGACATGTATTAAATATTTGTTAAGTACCAAATATACATAGGCATAATATGTAGGACAAAAATGTAACCACCCAAGCTCAAGCCCACCACTAACAGATATTGTCTTATTTGAGCTTTCCCTTTCGAGCTCCCCCTCAAAGTTTTAAAACGCGTCCACTAGATAGAAGTTTCCACACCCTTATAAGTAATGCTTTGTTCTCCTCTCCAACCGTTGTGGGATCTCACAGAAAATAACAAATTTTGAGATTGAAATACATCAAACTCATTTTTTAAAGCATATAAAAGGCATAATAAACTTGTTGATTTTGAATTTCCTTCTAGTAAAAGTTTGTACAGTAATCAATGTGTTTTTTCCATGCATGTGCCTTAAATTTTTATAAAATCACGTCACCGTTCGTGACGTATTTGTGTCTCATATCCATATATTTGCTTCTAGGAGATGAAGCTAAGAATACTCTATACACAAATCTAGAGCTAAATTAGCACCGTCGATAAATACAAGCAAGGTTGATTCAATACCTTAAGAACAGCTAGATCATACTCTGGATCAAATCCTACAATCTTTGCATCTCTAGAGATTCCATTTCCTTTAACATCGACCAAATTTACCTACAGAAGCAAGCAAAACTGAGAAACCAAGACTAGAGACTGCTAGCATGTCTATCAGCCACTAAGAATGCTCAACAATCCAAAACACAGTAACTAACGAACAAAACCTTACAACGCTGTAATCCACTATTATCAGTAGCCAATGCAGAAACGACATGGTAATTAGTAACCTGTCACAAACACACATTCTTCAGCTCAAAATTTGCAGCAGCAGGGCGCTAGAAGAAATGTAAAGAATCAAAGAAGAGAAGAGCTTACGATATGCCCAAATTTATCCCAAATAAACCCCGAACCAGTCCCTTTAACCTTGGCGTTTTCATCATCCTCAATAAGCATGGCTTCTTCAGAAGGGTTTTGGGGTTTTTTAGCAATTTCAAGATTCTTTATATAAACAACCGACGGTGAAGTTTCCTACATTGCAATCAGAACCAATAGAACAAAACAGATGAAGAAGACCTAATTTCAATCGAAACAGAAGAATTCTAGAGTTATTATCTAAGATTATGAGAAGGGACCTGGAAAAGGCCAACGATTCGATCTTCTTCTTGTGGAACCTCGTCTTGCAGCTGGGGAAGAGCGGCAAAACTGGGAACGGGGAAAGCGAGCAGGGAAGCCATTAAAGCAGTCGGGGCAAACACTATGGCTCTTCGCGAAGTGAAGGGTAAGGAAATTTCCGACGAATTAGGGGGAGATGAAACTGGAAGAAGACGAATTCCCAGCGAGCCCAACGCCATGGATTTCCACTTTGCTTCCAATGAGTCTTCAACTGAGCAATCTTATCGTTGTTTTTTAGAAATACAATTATCTTCCATGGATTTTTTTCAAGCGAAAAATAAAAAAAATCGTATTAAATTTTATTTTTCATACAACTATTAACTTTTTAAAGTATTTATTAATTATCATAGCCTCACTCTCATTTTGATATAATATTAATTTATTTTTGTACCACTGGGCGTCACATTTATATATAACTATCTAAAATATAGTAGTCAAACTCGAAGAATAAAGCTAGAGACTATGTAACAGCTCAAGTCTACCGTTCTTAGAGATTATCCGTTTTAACTCATTACATATCGTTGGGAACAGGTATCCACACCCTAATAAGGAATTGATACATGGAAATCACTGCAAGGGGAATAAGATTCAGATTACCTTGTTGATCGAATATCTCAAGACAAGACTATTGTTTGAGATTCGAATCACTCCACAAGTAAGATCGATCATATCGAACTTGAATGAGCTTGAATGATTTTACATACAACCTAAACTACATAGCATTGCAAAGAAACTTAGTCATTAGCTAAAGAAAGCACAAATGCTTTTTTTACTACATTTTTCAAGTCTCTTTACAAATACAACGTACACTTTATATAGCTTCAAAATGAAACTATTAAAGTAGCCCCAAACTGAAACTATTAAAGGCATTCGGAGAGCTGTAACGTTCATACTTAATGGTCATAATTAACCATTATGTAATTGTAAGCTAATGTAAATAAAAAGTCTTAAAATATAACTCTAAATTACTCTAAATTGTAATCCACCCAAAATTTATAACATGAATCTTAATTCTTCTTCAACGTGGCATGAATTGAAATATCTTTTGATAATTTCAACAATATTTTTTTCATATGTTTATTGAAGTATATTGTATGATTGATGTCTCTTAGTTCATATCAGGAATATTTTGTTCATCTCTCCAATCGATGTGGGACCTCACTGACTACTTTTATTTTTATATCTTTGTAAAAGATTAAGACCCAACTCCAAACTCTTTCTTCACGGCTCATAGGTTAGCTTATTGGGTAACAGGGCCTAATTCTATTTCTATCTATAAATTTGAGTTTCGATCGAGATTTCTTCATTCCTTCTTTATTTTATCGAATCATCGACCTTTAAAATGGTAATTATTAACCTTATTTATCGAACTATATATCAGATTGGTCATTTCTTCGTCCGAAAGGTAGGGCAATTATATATTAAAAGAATTGAAATGAAAGGTGTAAATAGTAATGTTTGATGATTATGACTTTATTTGTTACAAATGTTTATAATATGAAATGCAAAGGTGTCAAAATATTGGGTTACTTAGGGGTTTATTTATTTATTTTTTGTGTATTTTACCTTTTAATTCGTGGTGTGAAGGCTTTTCTTTATGGCCCTCCACAATCTTTTCCTTTGCAATTAAAGCAGCTACGTGGCACAATAAATTTACACTTCTTTTCCCACCCACCAAATTAAAGATTCAACACCTTTTTTTTCCTTTTTCTTATTGGAAAGTATTTTCAAGTACACATAAAAATAATTTATCTTATTCGAAAACGATCCCGAAGTTTATTGACTTTATGATATTATAATACACCGTGTCGAAATTTCATTGAAGTTTCGAACAATTTTGAAAAATGCATCTTTTTATAAAGATTACTGTCATAATCTATGAGATTTCACATCGGTAAGAGAGGGAAATGAAATATTTCTTATAAGGGTGTGGAAACCTTTCCATAGTAGACCTGTTGTAAAATCGTAAGATTGATAGCGATACGTAACGGGTCAAGGCGGACAATATCTATTAGTAGTGGGTTTGGATTGTTACAAATGGTATGGGCGATGTGCCAGCAAGGACGTTGGGCCTCCAAGAAAGGGTGGATTGTGAGGATCTCAAATTGGTTGGAGAGGGGAACAAACCATTCGACGATATGTATCGGGCCAAAACGGACAATATCTACTAGCTGTGGGCATGAGCTATTAGATAATCATACTTTTTTGAAACTTGTGATGCGATTGTGCGACAACTACTCTCCCTCTCAAGTAAGTCAACTAGCTAAAACTCGGGTTTTTGGTAGCACAAAAGACCAATATTTTAGCCTCCACCCCATTCTTGGAAAATGAAGTTAGAGAACGTTTTGGAAAGTAGTTTGAAAAAGTAAATGTTATACACTAGCAAGCAATAAGTGTAACAGCTCAAGCCCACAACTAACAAATACTGTCCAGCTATCTATTTTTTGTTTCCTCTCAAAGTTTTAAAACGTGTCTTTTAGAGTTACACAGTAAAGTGAATACTCACTAGATGCGTTTTAAAATCATGAGGCTGACGACAATGCGTAACGAACCAAAACGGATAATATCTAATATCAGTGAGTTTGAATTGTTACAATAAGAGAGCACGATGACATTGAGAGCATGTATAACTCAAGTAGAAATATTTGAACGAGCTAGATCGATTATTTTATTGCTTCCATTGCAGAAAGCTCAACTCTGCATCACGTCTTAGGACTGCTCGTAATTAAGATCGATCCAAGTCTAACAAAAAAAAATCTTAAAATAACATAGCTTAGATTATTGGAGATCCCAATAGCTTGAAAGCATACATTATTAAACAAAAAAAAACAAAGTTTAATAAGCTATTAATCATCACTTTTAAGTTCCATCAAAGAAATAAAAAAATGATTTAAGGATTGATTAAATGAATGGGAAATAGTTCCACGTGTAATTCTTGTAATTATATGTATCATTTAATATAATCAAATTACAATCAAATCAATAAAAGCTTATTGGTATGTGGTTAAGTAAATTAATAGTAAATGGCATCATTTTTCTATTTCTTTCTTTATTAAAAATTTCTCATACATTAATAAATTCATTTTTATAATAATAACATAAAATTCCGATTTTAAAATATTGTTTTGATTTTTTTTTTTACATACTTTTTATTACTGTAGCTAATAAAAATTGGCCTGACACTTTTTTTTTTATTTAAATAATTTTTTTTTTCTCTCCTTTCATAGATGGCCACGACGGCCTGTTGTCACAATCATGCTCTTACGGGATGTTTGTAAGTAATTGCGGTACTCACTCTCATCATCGAGTGAGTCAGCTAGTTCAAAATCATGTTGCCTTTGACCTGACGACGTATACCCAAACTTCTGGCCCTACTTTGAGAAGAAGGTTTTAGAGAATGAGGCCATTGATAGATTTTAGAAAGAGAAATTTGAAAGTAAAATCTAGAAAATGAGGAAAGTAATGTTATATGGCTATAAGCAACGAAAGAAATATCACGACATAAATAGCATGTAATTCAGGGTAGGAAGAATTGACGATCAGTCGCCGGCATTTTTAAGTCTACCAAATGTAGACATGATTTTGCCGAAATGTCATACACTTTGAAAATACAAAAGGGAAACTATATAAAAGCGGAGAAGGAAAACAATAAAGTGATACAACATAAGGGTTTTGGTATGCAATGGGCATGTAGCATTGAGAAATACACCTTCGACAAACATGACTGTAACGTCCATCATAGTTACCTATCGACTCCTTCTCCCTTGACCCGAAAGGACGAGAACCCTTCGTTTTAAATTTGAGATAAATGGAGATTAGCAGAGAAAGAGACGGTGGGTTGAGAGACGATGGATGGGAGGAAGGAGAAGGAAGTATCTAAAGATATTTTTATTTTTTATTTTTTAATTTAAAAAACGTGTCACGTTAGCCTCCTTCAATTATACAATTAATATAAGGGGATCAAGACCATTTTTAAACCCCGGAATTAAGATGTCATGTTTAAAAATTTAAAGACTAAAATGTTACTAAACTCGAACCTTAAAAAGATAATAGATATATATATATATATATTTATTTGTATTTGATGAGAAGATTAATAACAACAAATATTATAAATAAATATGTTTGATTATGATTATGTGTTGGTGAATTTACTTTATTAAAATTTCTTCTTTTTTAAAATATATTGCGGTGGAAAAGCTCCACCAAATTGTAACGTGTTATTATCAACATAATTCATGAACAGTTCAGTTTCTATAAACTATTTTTTTCGATTAGTACGGAAGAAATGAATGGTGAAATGAATCAAAATAAATATATCCGTTGTCAGAGGAAACCTCTTTATTCTTCGTGTTTATAACTCTACAATTCATAGTCTTGTCGTCATTTGTCAACATAATTGATAAACTTTCGTTTATAACAATTTAGTCCACGACGTTTAAATTTGTAAATCTTCTCAGGTAAACGAGTAAAAATAATTAAAAAAAAACAATATATTAACTAGTTGAACTATATTCGAGTTGATATTACAATAATACACGCATAATATTGGTCTATTCTACTACTCACTATCTCCAATGGCTTGAAGTCTCATCTGTCTATTGAACCGTTCAATAAACTCTTCAACTTTTTTGTTCAGTTCTTCATTTGACATCTCCGCTAACTCATTCTTCGTCTCTTCTTTTTCATTTCTCGTCGACGTTGCATCGTTTCTCGTCATCGTCTTCGATCTCCTCATCGCAATCTTCGTTTCCTTAGCAACTCTTCTTATCGCTTTCTCCGACTTGCTTCGATCGTAAGATTTTCTCGGATTATTAATCGAAATTTCTGAAATAATTAACCCAAATTCAATTTGGTCATATCTAAAAAATAAGAAGAATGAAAATAAAAATGTTAAAAATAGAAAAGAGAGAATCTTTGTGTGTGTACCAGTGGGAAGTGGGATTTGTTGTTGTTGATGATTTTCAGTTGGGTTGCCGGAATTGAAGTTATTTGGTGGTGGGGTTGGGATGATTACGGAAGAGGCGGCGGCGTTGAAGGTGGGGGGCTGAGAGAAAGCGCGGGAATGGGCGGCGATGATGAAAATGAGAGTGTTGGAGAGGCAAAACCAGAAGGTGGTGTGGCGGAAGAGAGTGGAGAGAGAGAGATTGAAAGCAGAGAAGTAAATGAAGAGGGAGAGAAGGAAGGCGAAGAAACAGAGAGCTTCCTCTGCGTATAAATGGAGGAACTTTCTTCTGGGTTTCATGGCCATTGATCACTTAGCTGCTGCTGCTGATGGAACAAGAACACAGGGAGATCAGGCTTTTCAAAATCAGTTGGTGGTAGTTTTAATTTGCAAAACACTCCTTTTTATAGGGTGGTTTACCACTTTTTTTTTTTTTTTAATTAAATACATTTCAAAATAAAAGTAAATAGATGTTGTACGTGTTAGACGAACACGACTCTCCACAATAGAATGATATTGTCCACTTTGACCATAAACTCTCATGGCTTTACTTTGGGCTTCTCCAAAAAGTCTCGAAATTAGCCGATGTGGACTTCCATCATCCAATCCAACAGTATGATCTAATATTTTATTTTTATTAAAATAAAAATTTGAATAAATGGTCCGAACAATCCGAACAACTCAAAGAGCATTGTTTAAGTTAAATTTATCATTTACTAAGCATTGTTTGAGTTGAAAAATTTACGACGACTCAGTTAAGTAATACATTGGATAGTGGAGAATTAAGTGCCAAAGCTTTTTGGGTTATTTTATATTATAGCCTTACAAGTGGACAATTCAAATTGGTGAGAATTCATATCACTGTGCCACGTGTCCGACATCTTTGAGGGAGACGTTAATTGCCTACTTTATATATATATATATATGTCAAATTATAAATTTATAACTTTTAATTTATATATATTTAGTTCAAAAAAAGTTTAATAAATTCTTGAATTTATTCACCCTGAAAAGATCCCAATTAAATAATTAGATACATAATTTTATTTTATTTTTAATAAGAGACTTTGAGTAATTTTGACATAGAAAATAACCCTTTAATTTAAAAAAAATCTAAAAGAATTAATTTAATTTAATTATTAAAATTACTTACCAACTAAAATCTCATTAATTTCAAATATCAAAATATTTACAAATCATAAATACATCATTAACATTGGTACGTAACAAAAGTAAATTTTTTTAATTTTCATAGTAATCTTAAAAATATGGTCGAGTTGGATTGTAACTATATTTTTGGATTGGTCAAATTGACCCGACTAAGAAAATGTCAGCTTGAACTCTTTTGGATTAAGATGTCCGCGTTTCTTTTTTAATTATTTAAAAAAAAATTACTTATATATAATACAAATGTTATCTTAATAACTAGAATTTCATAAAACTTAAATATTAAGGGTTCACAAATTACATCCATAATACTCCGTAAATATTCTTAACTTTCATAATAATCATAAAAGTACGTTGATTGTAACTCTATTTTTGGAATGGTTGGGTAGAAAAAAAAAAAAAAAATGTGTTTGTGTGGATGAATTATGAAATCATATAAACACCCTTCATCGAATTGTTTATCCGTAAAAGAATTATTAGTTTCGAAATGCACAACTTATCATTATCTTCCAAAAAAAGAAGCTCTTTTATTTTAAGATCCAAATTGCAATTGCGAAAGGCGAAGGGGGAGGTAGAACTGTAAATGACCTGAAGGAACAAAATTTTGGAATTCATGGCTGTTCTTGCCTCTATCCATCCCATCGCCCTCCTTCGACCCAAAATTCCTACTCCAAAACCCACCTTCAGGCCAAATGCCCAGCTCCTTAGACCCCATAAAATGCGAGTACCCTTCAAGCTGAAGGACCAACAGAACCGCATCTTCCATGAACTCCCCTCTGGTCTTCAAATGGAGGTAATTGTGCAAAAGGGTTCCGCGAAATCGGCCGAATCAATGGCTGCAAATGTGGAACGCCCACCTCTGCTCTTTGTCCATGGAAGCTACCACGCTGCTTGGTCTTGGGCAGAACACTGGCTGCCATTCTTTTCGGCTTCTGGGTTCGATTGCTATGCCATCAGCTTGTTGGGTCAGGTGGGTTTCCCTCGATTCCATTCTTTTTTGCTAAAATGCTAGAATTTTGAGATATTTAGGGATTTGATTGCTTTCTCAGTTCATGCCCAATTGCTGATTCTATGTATAAATTGCCTTAAACTATTTACATTCAATCATATTTCTTTCTTGATATGAATTGTCAGGGTGAAAGTGATGCACCATCTGCATCGGTTGCTGGTACTCTCCAGGTAATTTAGCTATCTATCTACCTGAAAGTTTCTCTGTTTTTTTGGATGTATTGGTGGTGTTCTTATTTCTTCCTCATTCCAAATTTTGTAGTAGACACATGCGAGTGATATTGCTGACTTCATTCATACAAGTTTTAGTATACCACCAGTGTTGCTTGGGCACTCATTTGGAGGTCTTATTGTACAATATTACATAGCAAACAGCAAATATGATGATTTTTCAGGTAGCTCCTTTTCATCAATCTTCTCTTCACAAAAGTGAAGCAGGTTCTAATTCATAGTTGAATTGGTTTAGTAAAATGTGGAGATTTTATCTATCTACCAGTTTAAATTATATGGCCTTATGTAACGAGGTCAAATATTTCTGTGAGATCCCACATCGATTGGAGAGGAGAACGAAGCATTCTTTTTAAGGGTGTAGAAACCTCTCCTTAGAAGACGCATTTTTAAAAACCTTGAGGAGATCTCGAAAGGGAAAGCCCAAAGAGGACAATATCTGCAAACAAGGACTAACGAGGATGCTGAGCCCCGAAGAAGGGTGGATTATGAGATCCCACATCGATTGGAGAGGAGAACGAGTGTCAGCGTCTCGAAGGGGGTGGATTGTGAGCTCCCACATCGGTTGGAGAAGGGGAACAAAACATTCTTTATAAGATGTGAAAATCTCTCCCTAGCAAGCGCGTTTTAAAAACCTTGAGGGGAAGCTCAGGAGAGAAAGCCTAAAGAAGACAATATCTGTTAGTGGTGGGCTTACGTTAATTTCATATCTTATACTAAGAATACATTACAGCTTGCAATTGTCAAGGCTCAATTATTTTATACATATATGATTTCATACATAATGCATGATCTAGATCCAGAAAGATTGTTCCCAAGGCTTACTGGAGCTGTTCTTGTCTGTTCTGTACCTCCTTCCGGCAACAGGTACATCCATACTGCTCAGTTCAAAATCATTACTTCATGAACATAATCGACCTAACTCGGTATTTTCTTCGCTTCTCCAGTGGACTCGTAAAGCGCTATCTCTTTACCAAACCCATTGCTGCTTTTAAGGTACTTCCTCATGAATTTGAGACATAATAATTAGTGCTGGGTGGCTTCTGCATCTTTTTTTATGAGTCTATCGACTGTTCTTGGTTCATTGGGTATGTCATAAGTAGACACATGCTATGCCTTTGGTAGTGCCTTCTATTTCTCGAGCTCAAATCTGTTCGATATAGGCATTCCACTGAAAGCATCGTTCAAAGAGGGGAACGAAACATTCCTTATAAGTGTGTGGAAATCTCTCCCTAGCAGACGCGTTTAAAACCGTGAGGCTGACGACAACACATAACGGGCCAAAACAGACAATATCTGCTAGCAGTAGGCTTAGACGGTTACAAACGAACATGACATACTTTTACTAAATCTTAAATGCTCCTACATATTTTAGCAATTCATGACTATCTTGTTTCACTTTGAGTAGGTGACACTCAGTTTGGCAGCAAAGGCTTTTCAAACATCTCTTCCTCTTTGCAAGGAGACATTTTTCTCTGCAACAATGGAGGATCGTCTTGTTTCACGGTTCGTATAGTTTGAAATACCTCAAGTTAATTTAGTTGTTGCGATCATTGTTCGGTTTCCAGTCCATAAATGCATTGGAAATTTGATAGCTAAGTTGGATAAGAAAAGTTATGGAATTATCGTAAGAAGAGTGATGTAACATTTGTGAGATTCCACATCGGTTGAAGAAAGGAACGAATCATTCTTTATAAGGATGTGGAAACCTCTCTCTAGCAGACGCGTTTTATAAACCTTGAGGGGAAGCCCGAAAGGAAAAGCCCAAAGAGGACAATATCCGTTAGCGGTGAGCTTGGACTGTTACTCGAGTTAGAACGCATGACGAAGTATTTGCATTCCATGCTTAAATGTTAGTCTATAATCTGCTTCAAAATCTCTAAACTTCCTTTTCAGATATCAAGAGTTGATGAAAGAAAGCTCAAGGATGCCATTATTTGATCTAAGGAAGCTGAACGCATCCCTTCCAGTACCATCACTGCCCAAATCATGCATGGAAGTACTAGTGCTTGGTGCAAGTGATGATTTCATTGTGGTATTCATTTATTTTTAAGAACTGGAATCAAAATTGTTCTGCAACAAATTGTTTAAACTTGAGCTCCTTTTGTAATGGATGAACACTGCTGGTTGTTCTTGTGTAGGATGATGAAGGATTGAATGAAACAGGCAGGTTTTACAGTGTGACACCAATCTGTATACAAGGAGTTGCTCATGACATGATGTTGGATTGTTCTTGGCAAAAAGGTGCAGATGCTATCTTAACATGGCTTAATTGCTTAGGATCATAAACATCATCTACCTTCCAATTTTGTTATCTATATTCTCCTCTCCTCTTTCGAGATCGTATCGAACCTTTTGGATCTGTTCAATATCGGTGTTTTATATGTGAGTTTCTCCATACTTGAACCATTCTATAACTTGATTATGTAGAGGCTATGTGTAACCGTCTATGTCTACGATTAGTCGATATTGTTCTCTTTGGGCTTTTCCTTTCGAGTTTTTCCTCAAGGTTTTTAAAACGCGTCTGTTATGGAGAGGTTTCCACACCCTTATAAAGAATGTTTCGTTCTTCTCCCCAATCGATGTGGGATCTCACAATCACCCCCTTCGAGGCCAGCGTGTCCACCCCTTTGAAACTGCACACCACTAGGTGTCTAGTTCTAGTACCATTTATAACCGTCAAAGCCCATTGCCAGTAGATATTGTCCTCTTCAGGATTCCCTTTTGGGCTTCCCTTCAAGGTTTTTAAAACGTGTTAGCTAGAGAGAGGTTTCCACACCCTTATAAAGAATGTTTCGTTCTTCTCTCCAATTGATGTGGGATCTCACAATCCACCCCCCTTCGGAGCCTAGCGTCCTTTCTGGCACACTGTCTTATGTCTACTTCCCTTTGGGGCTCAGTTTCCTCATTGACACATTGTCCGGTGTCTTGACCGATGTGGGATCTCACGATCCACCCCTGTTCGAGGCCCAACGTTTCCACCCCCTTTGAACTCAATCTCCTCGTTGACTAGGGAGAGGTTTTCACACCCTTGTAAAGAATACTACGTTCTCCTCCAAATCGACGTGGGATCTCACACTATATTACAAAAGCTTCACCGAAACTCAAGATCTGATGTTCCACATAGAATTTATAGTACTACACATCATACAAGTTCTAGATCTTGAGTTTGAAGGCAGATCTAAACAACCAGATATCAAAAAATGATTTTTTTTTTTCCAATTTTTCATTAAAGAAACTCCAAAAAAGTAAGTTCTCTACAAATTACATCTCTAAACATCGTTACATATTCAATCATCTGAAGGGAAAAAACCAATAAAAAGAAAGAAAGTGGAGCAATGGAAGGCTAATGATTGTAAGGTGAAGCAGATTGAACCCGATTCTTCCTTTTCTGTAAAAACCTCTGCAAAGATCTCTTCATGGACAGCCCAGAACCAGAACCACCTTCACCATTACACTGCTCCGGCGACATCGACCGTTCCAATTTCCGGCGACGATTAATCGATCGCTCCTCTACATGTCTTGTTGCAAGCATTATTATAGCTCTAGCTTGATCCTCTGTAAAATCCGCAACACAAACTCTCCCATTGTAGAAAATAGTCATCTGCTGCTGAGAATTTTTGCTCGATTCATCATCCCTGCCATAAAGAACAACCCAAAATCAATACACTTTCACAGACATACAAACATTCAAAGAGAAACAGAGATGATAAGAAGCAGAAACTTACAAGAACTGGTGGAGACGAGGCTGGTGGTGGCGGTGGTCGCCGGAATCTTGGTCGGAGAAAGACGTAGAAGGAGAGAGACGAAGCTCCAAGTTGCAGTTTTGCTCCATGGAAATGGGAAGAACCGCCATTAAAACAGAGCAATCGGAGAAGAACAGAGAGAAACAGAGAGACCCAGATGAAAAGGAATCAGATTCCGCCGGTGGGTAATTCCAATCGGAGAAAAAGATGAGATTTTGCACACAGAAATGGAAGAATCCAGCAAAGAATGAATGTTTATTTATATGTATGCGTGTAGAAGAAAAGGCAAATTAACGCACGTTTGAAATGCTTACGACATGGACGCCAACCTAAGGACCAAAACAATCCGCCGTTATTGATTGAGAGCTCCAAATTTCTCTTTATTTTAATTTTTCTGCCATTTTAATCACGTGCTTTAAGTCGGCAACATTTTCTCTCTCCTCTCTCCATTTTTTAGTGGTTGGTAGACTTATAAAAGTCAAGTTTTATTTTTTTATTTTCTTTTATGAATCACGTGATTTTTTATTTTTATTTTTAATTAATACGCATTATATTTTCAGCCCACCGTCACTGTCGGCTTATTTTTAATTTAAACATCGTGATCATATTCGAATTTGAGTTTGTCACTTAAAAGGGTAAATTAGTCTTTTTCGTTTAGTGACATCTGTGGATACAATTCAATTGATTTGATTTGGGACGAGACAAGGACATCGAGGCTCTTTCTATTCCCATCTCTATCCCTGTCTCTTTGTATTTCAACAAAAAATTTCATTTTATTTTTTAACAGTTTTGAAATCGTTTGCTCAAACATGTTTAAAGTTATACCATGAAATCTTACATCGGTTGAAAATAGGAACAAAACATTTCTTATAATCGACATGCTTTAAAAATACTTTTCACTAAATGCATATTTTTTACTATGACTATTTAATATTCCGAAAGTAACATTTAAAAACATGTTACCTAAAATAAAATGGTTAAGCTAAGTTTGAAAAGTATATTATAAAAAAAAAAAAAAAAAAAAAA